AAACTATGGATTTAGATATATAAGCCAAATATACATGTTACAAAATGTTGTCAAAACTGAAGAATTTAATTCCCACTAATTAGACAAAGGTTCAGCAGAAGAGAATCATAAGCTGTTTTTGGTTTAGGGGGTTTATTTGGTAATATTTGATTCATACTTTCAATTAATAGAAAATCAATATGGATTTAAATATGGGTGATTGAAAACAAATATTGAATTCTGAATATTAAACATGAGCGAGTACTTGATTCACTTTAAATAAGTAAGGCATCTATTCAATATATGATAAAAGAATATTTTTTAAATCTGAGAATTCTTCAAAGCTTCTCAAGAAAAAAAACGAGTCTCACAAATTCAAGATCTGTTATGTCATTGCTGTGTGATCATCTTTTCTACCTTTACTATAGCCAAATTTCATTCACTTCTCTGCATCTAAATCTGCTTTCTTTTGGAATTCCATCATTTTCTTTGACAATAAATTTTCAAATGTATCCAGATTCAGAATCAGTTCAGAAAAGTATATCTGATCACTAAGATAGTCTTCTGCAAACAAACCAAAAAATTTTTTTCATTTTAAAATCTGAGACTTAACAAATCTCTTGGTATATTCGCATTTGAGGATAAAAGTGTTTTTCTCCATATTTTTCTCCATACATCCTGTGGATATATCTAGAGAGTGTTGGATGTTTGCTTACCTTCTAATACAGAAATTTTTTTAAATTAAAATGATAGTTTCACATTTGAAGTGCAGCATGGTTTTGTTTTTTTTGCATAAAATATTAAGTAACAAAATAAAAAACCCTCTACACATTCTCTTCTAGCTTGAGCAGGAACTGTTTTATGTGGGTTGACACCTCACATACTCTTGAGTTTAAGAAGTTAGCTTTATCTGAGAAGTCACTATTTTTAGGTCCAGCTGTAATGTTTCTAACTTTGGTGTGCAGAGTAGTGGGTGCTTCCTTTCCCAGAAGGCTCTGTATTCTCTACATGGGCAGGTCAATTTGACATAAAGCTACCTACGAGGAGCAGCAGGCCCATTGCAGCCCGTTTCTTACTTGAAAATTATGAGCAGGTCTTGGGAGTCACAGGCTTTACTTGGGAACCAGCTGCATGTCAGTACAAGCATGGATTGTGGTCCCTGGAGGCTGGGAGAGCACAATGTTTGAACTTAATTTCTTTGGGAGATAAAGAAGAAAAAAATACCTTTCTACCTGACAAGATTGACAACGTATTAACTCTGACTATCTTCAGAAGTGTGCTGGACAGTTGCTAAGTAAACATCCACTTTTCAAAGATGATGATCAAGGAAACATCTCTACGAAGGGACCCGGATTTAAGGGGAGAGTTAGCTTTCCTGGCAAGGGGCTGTGATTTTGTTCTCCCGTCACGGTTTAAGAAGCGGCTGAAGTCATTTCAGCAGACACAGGTTTGAAACTTGGGTGTTTCTTTTAAAATATTTTTATTACTAATAAAACCACCCAGTGAACTAACTTACAAATAATTTTACAGCTCACTTGATATTAGATCAAGGAATTAATATGTGTCCTCTATTCAGCTATTTCCAGAAAGCTATTTGTAGAGAGATTCCAACAGGTTTAAAAATAGACCTTCTGGACCTGAAGTACAGTACTCACATTTTTCTCTTGTAGACAGAGAATCCAGTTTTAGAGACAATAAATACAACTTAACAAATATTTTGCAATTTAGAATTTTTCATAAAAATATCTTTGAGAAATTAGAATTTCCATATTAAAAGCCTGTTTGCACTTTGAATCAGTACACTAAATTTGTTTTAACATGCATACATCTGTAATTAATCTTTTTTAAAAAGGAATATTGATCCTAATAATCATGGTTTTTTGAAAAGACTTTTTTTACATGTATCAGCAGTTGTGTGTGTATGATATACTGTGTATAGGTAATAACGCATGGCAGTTACTTCTGGGTTGTGAAAGAATGTCTTCCCTCATCTGTGAGGTTGAGTCATTTCTGTCTGCAGAGACCATGCTTACTTGCTCACAACCATAGGGCCGGTATCTCATGAAACAAGTTGCCTAGCATTGAATACAGTACAAATTGGGAGCCATATCATGACAGACATCCAGAATCCAGCAAGAAACCACAGTTTCATAGTTATTCTGACCTACAGTAATTTCAAATTATTTGACTGAACCATGTGAAATTGCTTTTTTAAAAACAGGTTAAAAAAATGGTCAAATATTGGAAATGCTACAATAACATAACTGCGTTAGGGTACTGTTCAGAATGAATATCTAAGTGATACTGTAAGGTAATGGAGAGCTGAGATACTTGGCACAGCTAATTCTCTTTATCTCTTTTAATTCTCTTGTAATCCTAGATTTGAATGAAAAAGTTTTATCAAAGTGGGCAGATGCTAAACTTAGTAAATCTGACACACTTTATGTTTCGGGTTTATTCTATAATGTTGTAAAGTGTCAGTTTTATTAAACTCCTTTAAGGTTTAAATTATATGTCTCCTATTGAACTCAGTGAAAAGTAAATCAGTATACCTGAAAAATTCAGAATAAATGCATTCTTTTTCTTTTCCCTTTAAATATTTTATGAAATATGGAATTACACAGTGAATTAATAAATACTTGCTATTAGTGAACTGTTCTATGTTAAGTACACCGAGAAAAGCAAGGTAGGCTATTATATAATTGAATATTTTCCTGTTCAAATTAAAACTTTGACAGATAGCCTGGGTTTGTTCTGAATGCCACTTACTTCTGTCAATGGAAAAGCAAAAAGAATGAAAGGCTTGCTATAAACCTTCTCCAGTAGTGTGTGTTCACTATACTTGAGTTTCATCTTCACTGGGACTGTGACCTTAATCCTATGGTTATAACTACCCTGAAGTTATCCATAACTGCCCTGGCTGTCACACTATGGGCAACATTTTGGGAAAATAAGAATTTTGACAATCGTATGCTTGTAGTCTCACAAATCTCTTTAGAATTTTAGAATAATAGAAAGGAAATGACACTGAATACAAATGACCTAAGTAAAGCTGCTGAAGAATTATATGCCTTATTTTAGAAATTTAAGAACAGTTTCTTCTGTTATTGACTCATAGGACTGTGTAATAATAGTTGCGGGTTTAGCACCAAGGCAGAGAGAAATATTACTTAGAATAGATTATCAGTTTGTTGATTTGAAAGTAGTATATAAACTTTAAATTGCTTTACAAGTGTCAATTATTATTTTATTTGTTATTGAAGCTGAAAGACCATGCCAAGTTATGTTTAATCTTTTGAGAACCCCATCTTTTGGCATCTCTGCCCAGCACAGCTTTGAGCCATTTCCCTGCATTACATCTTGTAATTTCCTTTAACCCTCACAACAGCCTTCCAAGAAGAAGGGGTTATAATCTATTTTATTACTGAAATTCTGAAAGGTTAAGTAACTGTCATGAGGTCACAGAGCTAGTAACCCATCACTGTATTTTGTTAAGTTTTTCGTATTTCATTGGCATCACTTCCCTCTGCCACTTCTTCCTTGACTGTTGCTTTATGTGGGTAATATCCTTTTACTGCAGCAACGGCTTGGTGTGACAACTGACCTTCATATCCTCAATAGTGTTAATATATGAGCAGACTCCACTCTGTGTTAATGTCAGATATTAACATGAAAAATGGGCCATGTTTAACAAAAGTAGGAGAATATATCATATTTTTCACATATTTATGTGAATGAAGCCTATCTTCCTGTAATACTCATGCTTTTCAAAGGTAGCTAAAAATTTTACCCTGAATTTAAAAATCATATTATAAGTCCATGTATCAGAAGGGAATATGATATTCAGATCTGCTTCGTACTGATAAACCATTGTTCAAACTTTAGGAATGGCATTAGGATATAGTTTAAGAAAGACGAACAGTAGAGTAATATTTTGAGTTCACAGGGAATTTAAAATACATTTAGCTAGTCAACAGTCATATCCATTTTTCATACTTTATGTAGATCTAGTAGTACCATGCTCATGAGCTTTGAAATTAGTCTCTGAAAATCTTCGTGAAATCTTTTTTGCTTTTTCTGCTAGGAGTCTCAGAACTAAATTTAGTCTTCATTAGTAAACTAAACTTCTACCTGAATAGTAATGTATTTCCCCTCCCCTTTCCCTAAATCATGGATAATCTTAGTCTCCCCATTGCCCCCCACTTTTTTTATACTGTCCTTTCTATGTCTCTTTATGGTTTACCACATCAGATCCTTTTTGGGAAAAGGGATGATATAAACTATTAATGAATTAATAAACTGTAAAGAGGATTTGGCCATGGTGAAGTTAATGGCCATGATCTCTGCCTATTGGAGTCTACCAGGAATGGGAGAAATGTGAATCTCAGAAAAAATAGCATGCCCCTGGTTGAAAGTAAATCAGCCTGGGAGAAGATAGTCTAAAACTAAAATGCTTTAATTTTCTTAACAAAGACTTTCTCTGCTCAGATACTTGCAATGATTCTTCCTAGATAAAGCCAAACCAAGGAAGAAGGTAGAAGGACCCCCACACACAATACATTTTAGATCTACATATTTAAAAGGAACTCATTCTATCTGCCTTTTGAAGGACAGGTGAAAATAACAGAAAGACCAAAAACAGTCTCCAAGAAGAATTTACTAATCCAGGTCCAATAGACTGAGAATTCACCTGGAGATCCTTAATATGTCAGCTGACATCACTCTTCCACATCACTTGTAGAAAATGTACTGTAGGATTTTTTTAAGCACAGATTTGTGTAAATTCAGGTATTGACAGAAAGTAATGTATTGATTGATTCAGTGTAGAAAAGCATTCCCTCAGAGCATGCCTGCCCCCTCGAGTAGAGTGAGCTCTTCATCTGTACTGCTTCTGATTATGTTTCTTTTTAATATTTATACCCAACTTCCTATGAGGATTTATACCCAACTTTCCTATGAGGTGAGGATTTTCTAGTAATACAAACTGTTTAGAATTTTTATGTCTCATATTTTCCTTACAGATTCAAAATAAAACAGAAAAGAAACCTGGAACACCACTCCCACCTCCAGCCCCCTTTCCGAGTAGTCCCCGACCTCCCTCCCCTGCTCCTCATGTGAATACCGTTGTGAGTGCAGCGCTGCCCGTCAACATTCCACAGTTCTACTTTCCTGAGGGACTCCCCGATGCCTGCAGCAATCATGAACAGACTCTAGGCAGAATTGAAGCTGCTTTCATGGATATTGAAGATCAGAAAGCAGACGTTTATGAAATGGGGAAAATTGCAAAGGTAATGTCACTACTAAATGATGTATAATCTCCCTTTCTCTAGCTGTCCCAATCTCCCTCTTTTACTGCCTCCTTGCTCTCTATTTTTAAGCATGCATAGGTTTTTTTTCCATATTGAAAAAAATATATTTGATACTGATGTATTGGCTGTGGTACAGTTTGAAAAAAACCTTAGTGGTCTCCCAGTCCAACCTCCCATTCAATATAGGAATTCCATTCATGGCATCACCAAAACATAAATTTCCTGCTTGAGTGCCTTCAGTGACAGAAGACTCACTCCCTTGCCAAGTAGCCTGTTCCATCATTAAATAGCTTTACTTGTTAGAAAAAATCCCCTTGTTGAATACAGATCTCTTTTTTTATTCTCATTCATTGATCATAATTCCTTGCCCTGAAGCCAGACAAGGAACTATTAGGTCAACTCAATGCTGGGATTCTTCTCAGAAATAGATGGATTTGTTATTGCAAGTCTTTGATACTTGTCAATACATCCAGCTGCTTCTAATTTAAGCTCTTAGTCCCTAACCCTTGGACTACTGTAGCACCTTCGGTAACTGGATTCTACACTTCCAGCCGCCTCCTAGAACAGTTAATACTGAGCGTAACCACCAGTTTATATTTGATCATGTCATTCCCCAGCTCAGCAAAATGCAGGGATTCCTACCATCTATAGCAGCAGTCCCCAACCTGTTTGGCACCAGGGACCAGTTTCACACAGAAGACAGTTTTTCCGTGGACCGAGGGGGTGAGGGAGGGATGGTTTAGGCAGTAATGCACAGTGGTGGGGAGCCGCAGATGAAGGTTTGCTCACCTGCTGCTCACCACCTGCTGTGCCACTCAGTTCCTAACAGGCTGAGGACCAGTACCAGAGTTTGGGGACCCGTGAACTATAGGAGTGCTTTGTTTCATTTGGGTCCTGTTTTGATCATGCACGTACACTATTCTGAAGAGTCAGATCCAACCTCAGGATTTCGCAGTGGTCTCAAGCTGTGCTTCAAGAGACAGAGGGGTTAGCATGTGGGCAAGGGGACACCAAGTGGGAGTTCCCAAGGCCCCGTGCACCCTTCAACTCAGAACACTACCTCTGTATTCAGCAAGCATATTTAAAAGTTTGACAACTACCACTTTTGAGGATAAAATCCAAACCACTATTCCCTGTATCCGCCTGACCCACCTGCTCCTGCCTCTGCGTTTGGGCTTTCGTGCTTCTCCCCTCCAAAATGGACTTCTCTCCACTCCCTCATCACCGTTCTCTAAGGCCCTGCCCTGTGGTTCATGCCCCCTATGCTTTCCTACTGATAACCCCAGAATTATTTGTTACTGCTGTTAATTTGTAAGTAGAGTGATTTTCAAGGAAATGAAAAAGAATTCTTTTCTAATCATCCCCCAGTCTTGCTTTCTTGTTGACACCTTAGGTGTTTCTAGTTAAAAACAAACTCTTTCATTCTAGTAATAAGATCTCACCTATTTCCACTCTCCTGTAACATGAGGAAACTGATATCCCACAAGTATGTACCTGAGGTCACATTTTGTCCATGTCAGGAGACATGTCCCCTGACTGCTGCATTATGCTGTTTCTACCTTATCCCCTGAAGTGGGCTAACATAAAATCAGCTACTTCTACTAAGCAGTACCCACTCAAATAAATTATAAGTTCTTTCAGGGCATTTGCAATTTTTTACCCCAAGCTTTGAAAGGTGACTATTTTATTATGAATCGAGGTGGTAAATTATCTGAATGGGCTGGAATGTTGAACCTAAATCCAAGGGAGAGAATTTAGCAGAGATGAATGAAATCTGCATTTGGAGATAACATGTTAATCACATAAATGCCAAATGGGGTATGTCTAACATGGCAGCAGTTTGCGTAAGAGAGACAGGAGGCTTCATGGACTAGTTTGAGCAAACAAGCAGGGGAAACTGCAGACTGAGCCCCGTGGTAATTCCCTCGTGCTCTGCTGGGCTCCCCACATCTGGAGAGCCAATCCAAGGGATCAGTGCCTCACTGTCAGAGACCTGCAGCCTGCTCTGTTTTGAAGGTCTCAGGTCAACCTTCCTCCTCTTGAATATTCCCAGCCCCGGCCTGAGGAGCTTTCCTGCATGCTGCCTCCACCCTCCTGCTCTGGCCCTCCCACCCGGCTCGTGGTAGCCCCCCTGCCTGTGGCTCAGCAGCCGCCAGCACCCCACAGTGAATGCACAGTGAGAGGACAGCAGGGAGCCTGAGGACTCCACATGGTCACTCCACGTGGTCACGGGGAGTGTAGGAGAGAGTGTAGTCAGGTCAGGGAAGGGGTTGGTGCTGGGGAATCAAAGGGGACTTTGCTGTTCACAGGTGGCATCAGGAAAAACTGCCAGTGTTACAGCTGACAACATAGAGAAGTTTAAAAAGAGAAAACTGGGGCTTCCCCAGTGGCTCAGGGGTAAAGAATCTGCCTGCCAATATACAGGTTCTACCCCTGATCCAGGAAGATCCCATGTGCTCCAGAGCAACTGAGTCTGTGTGCCAAAACTACTTAGCCTTTGCTCCAGAGCCTGAGAGACAGAACTCTTGAAACCACATGCCCTATAGCCCATGCTCACAACAGGAGCGCCTGCACTGCTCACTAGTGAGAAGCCTGTGTGCTGCAACTAGAGAGCAGCCCCTGCTCACAGCAACCAAGACCCAGCATAGCCAGAGATAAATTTTTAATTATAAAAAAAGATAGAAAGCTTGATAACCATAATAACAGTCGTTTACATAATACTTTACTGTTTATACCAAATTATCATGTGGCACAATAGCCAGTATACACACATATATCTGATTAACTTGTCTGAATTGTGCTTGACTATAGTCCTAAATTCCATTCAGGGGTGCCAAGCATTTGTGTTCATTCCCTCAGACCTTAATTGTCAGTTTAGGTAGCAAAGTGAATTAACATTGCGTGTAAGATGAGGCTATGTGTATGATGACCTCACAAGTACTATATTAGCTCATTTTATTGGATTTTATCTCTTTATTCTTAAAATCATTTATTTTAAAAAATTTATTTAATCATGGAATTTATTTAAATTCCATGTAATCCAACTTGTTCTCAGCTATGGCCAGACTGTTAGTACTCACTAAACCAGCCTTTCCACCACTCTTTTTTCTGCAGACTGTCCTCCCTCCTTGGAGAGATTGATCTCCATTTCTGAGTAAATTCTTAGTGTGTAGTTTGTATTTTTTTCCACACTTATGAAGTGATGGGAAAGAAACGAATAGAGAATGATCTAAGAGGGACAAAAGCAGCATAGGAACAGAAAGGAAAGTATTTGGCACCACTGAGTTTTAGCCTTTGACAGGCTTGAGGGAAAAGAGGGAGAATTTGAGGGAGAAGAATGAAACTATCTTCTGAACTATACAGAGCGCTCCAGCTCTTCCTGCTAGCTGATGTAGCACCATCTTAGCCCTCTTGCCTGTGGCCTGGTACCTTTATTTCTTTGTTTGCAGAATGAAATAAAACTACCTGCCCTCTTCTGTATGGGGTCATGTCAGGACTGAATAAAATAACAAGCATGAGACATTTTAAAATGTTAAAGAACTTTACAAATATTGGGCGAGCATCTCTTCCTACATATCATTAGACAATTTGCTTTCAGTTCTTTATGTTGTTGGGTCATTTTCAGATGAAATTATAGGTGTTAATCACATTTTCTTGGCTCCAGCAACACTGACGCTTGCCTTCTCCTCTAAACCTGTTTCCTAAACCCATTTTCAGCATGTCCTGTACCGCCTCACTTGTCATCCTGTCTTTTCCTTTGTGAAGAGCCTTGACATGAGCTTATTCTCTTTTTTGTCATAAAAGTCTCTATTCTGTTGCCCTCAGATTAATATTATTTACTTTTTTTTAGGTTTGTATTGATCTCCTGGCTCCTTTTATCGTAATTCTGTTTTTAAGAAGATGCAGGCCAGACATACATTTATTTTTTAAATAGCGGGAAAGTGTACTTATTTTCTCTGATTTCAGAGAAATTTTTATTTTTAACTTATTTTGGCTGTGCAGTGTCTTCCTTGTGGCATGCAGGCTTTCTCTAGTTGTGGCACATGGGGGCTTCTTTCGTGTGGTACATGGGCTTAGTTGCCCCACGTCATGTGAGATCTTATTTCCCCAACCAGGGGTCAAACCCAAGTCCCCTACATTGGAAGATGGATTCTTAACCACTGGGCCACCAGAGAAGTCCCTACATTTTAAAAAAACAGTCAAAGTGTAATATCTGCAGCCCTTGCCATCCACTGCCCTTCCTGCTTTTGCCTTTGGTACTTTCTCCAAGGGCTTTATACCTTCCTGCTGCCCAACCCGTGGCTACTCGGGGTGTCCACTACAAGCAAAATAGGTCAGTCCTTTCATACCCACTTCAAAATTATCTATTCCGTACCATATCTCTTGGGCTTTTGCCTTTGGGTAATAATAAATTTGTAAATGTTAATCCCATACTCTTTAGGAGCTGACATGTACATTTTAACAAAGTCTTCTGAATAAAAATCATAATCCAAGGAAATGAAAGTTGTTTAATAGTGGATGTAGTCCTACAGGATGGTAAGTACACAGGTCCCGAACATGTTTCATCTGAGCTGGTGACCACTTCCCAAGGATAAGCTAGACGATTCTTGATCCCTTCCAATTCTGAAAAATCGATAGTGACTAATGTTGGGAGCTTCAAGTACTTTGGTAAGCCAGTCCCAGTCCCTCTCTGTATTTTCTCTCTTTGTGGCTCTGCACCCCCACCTCCATAATACAGGCTGCTTTTGATTTTCCCAGCAATTGCCAATAGCCTATCACATATAAGAGCATTTTCTTGGCAAACTACCATTCCTCATGAAAGGGAGACTTGGGATTGGGGAAAGTGGATTTGACAGTAACCACCCAAAGTATATTAATTGTGAGCTTTGTACCTTGGCAATCATAATTTACACAATAAACAAAATCCATTTGGTTGCTAAGCAACACCTTTCCCTCATTCTTGACCTCAGTGGAGGTATTTGACCTCTGGACTTAAGAAATTTTAAATTCCACCCTGCTTGCAGAATGTGATTGGGTGGCCCTGGCAGAATCTATGTCTTATTTCTGCCCTGTACTTACTTACCTCCCTTGGCTTGAATCTCATCATCCATGTCCTCATCTCTGACATAAACCCAGCAGTCCTGGGCATTCTCTCAGCATGACTAACCTCAGATGAAGTACTGTTCAGGCTTCTGTAGGATCCCCTATGCACAGGGGCCCCACATCAGAAGCAGCTTCACCTCAGCCTAATGTGGATTCACATCTAGTCATCTACCAGAGGGGAAGCTTCCCTTTGTAGAATAAGACTCAACAGTCCTATATCTATTATGATAATAAGAATATCTTTCTCCAATAATAAGATGTGACTCTTTGAAGAGCTTCAGATTTGGGAATACGTTTTATGTGTGTATACAAAATTGGGAACATTTGGAAACTATTTTTCAGCTAATATTTAGATATTATTACTTGGAAGAATTTTCCCTCTAGAAAAAAAGCAGGTAAATTTGGTATGAATTGTTTCTTATAAAAGGATAAGAATAATTTTTCTTAATTGAAAGAAAAAGGTTTTTTATTGAGAAGAAAATCATTACCTTTTAGGGTATTGTATTTTAGTTCTTTCTAAGGCTCTTATAATATGTTGTCATTAGTGATATGTTCTAATATATAAATAAATTATAGCATTTTAATTTTTGCCTCCCATCTTTCACCTGAATTGTAACCATTTAAATAGATTTATAGCTGTTTTCTAAAACAGTACGGGCTTTTCTGTTTCTCCTTGAACCTGGGGCTTAATAACACAATAAGCAAAGGAGAAAAGGAGAGAGCAGTTAGAGCATATTGATACCAAGTTACTGGGCAGTAAAGGTATTTTTCTCCCATAGGAAGGGAGGCCATTTACACAACCATGACATTCAGTCACATCTTTTTCTTTCTAAAAGTAGAAAATACATGATGTAAGAGTGGTAGGAAGGAACGGAGACTGGTTGCTTTAACTATAAAAGTCACGGAAAAATAACATCACTATAAATGTACTTTAAGAAAAGGCAATTGGATATTCATCTTCTTCGTGAAACATGTCATCCTCTTGTATTGTTTTCCCTCTGTCTTGCTGAATCTACCCCAGCTGATGTATCTGCCTCCATCCCAGCTTTGCTCCCCCGGGTCCTCTTCTGTCCGCTGTGGCCTAAAGGGTTAAGGCCACAAAGGCCCTTTCTTTGGCCATGTCATCTCTTCACTGCCCCTTGGCTCACACTGCATTTGTGTTTTATTTGCAGGCCTGCGGCTGTCCTCTTTATTGGAAAGCCCCCATGTTCAGGGCTGCAGGGGGAGAGAGGACAGGATTTGTGTCAGCACAGTCATTCATCACCATGTGGAGAAAGTAAGTAAGAGAGCAGCTACTCGGGCTGGGCAAGGAATTATCTGGTCCTCGTGACATGCTTTATAAAAGACACTAATTTTACTCATTCATTAATTTCCCCCTTACCCTTTGTTTCAGCAATTAAAATTAAATGATTCACAACTTTTTATGCCCACAAAGAAATTCTTTCCCTAAGCCTTTATCTTACATGTCTCTGATCGGTAAAGCAGATCTCCAAAAATATTTGTTTAATAACTATTTGATAGTTTCTTAGTTTCACTTGTTAACAGTTTGAGTCTTAGGATTTGACTCTTGTAGCAGTGACATAAATGCTCCTTTAAGGGGAGCAAATCATACATGTCATATGCTTTCATTCTCATCTGATCCAATTTAGAATTGTATCCAGTTGATTTATTAAAAATAACTGAATTCTGGGACTTCCATGGTGGTCCAGTGGTTAAGACTCTGTGCTTCTAACCCAGGGGGCGCTGGTTCCATCCCTGGTCAAGTGTTAGGATTCCCACATGCTGCACGGCTGAAAAAAGGTGGGAGGGGGGATTGGGATGGGAAATACATGTAAATCCATGGCTGATTCATGTCAATGTATGGCAAAAACCACTACAATATTGTAAAGTAATTAGCCTCCAACTAATAAAAATAAATGGGGGAAAAAAGACCTTTCTTTTAAAAAATAACTGAATTCTAATAGATTTTAGTCATTACTTTTTGAAAGCTCCAGTTAAGGAACAAAGGGTTAGTATATTTATAAATATACTCCTGGATTTTACTATCCTGACAAGTTCTCTTGAATTTAAATCCAACTTTCTTCTCTCTTTTCTTTTTTCTCCCTTCTTTCTTTATAAATTATTTCTTGATATATTTATGCACAATTTAAGGGAATGTTATAGCTTGCCCCTTCTACCTCTTTTAACTGATCAGCCTTCTTTAAGTATGTTGTTCTCACTTTCTGGGCTGGATACCCTTCCTGATGAACTACTGGGAAATGCTGTTCACCTGCCATCACTATCATCACTGTTATTTAAAGTAAGCGTATGATAGCAGCAAAACTCAGCTTACAGACTCTTCTAATCCTTTCCTGCCACCTCAAAGCCCTCACTAGTATGATGCTTGAGAACACCATAGGTGATTAATAACTATATTCTTATTTTGAAAAATCTAACCACAAGTTGAATTCACCAAGTTCTTCTTGCATTACAATAGAACTAAAGTCATCAGGAATGGGAAAGAATAGAGATCTCTTCAAGAAAATTAGAGATACCAGGGAACACTTCATGCAAAGATGGGCACAGTAAAGGACAAAAACAGCATAGACCTAACAGAAGCAGAAGATATTAAGAAGAGGTAGCAAGAATACACAGAAGAATATACAGGAAAGATCTTTATGACCCAGATAACCATGATGGTGTGATCACTCACCTAGAGCCACACATACTGGAGTATGAGGTCAAGTGGGCCTTAGGAAGCATCACTACAAACAAAACTAGTGGAGGTGTTGGAATTCCAGCTGAGCTATTTCAAATCCTAAAAGATGATGCTGTTAAAGTGATGCGCTCAGTATACCAGCAAATTTGGAAAACTCAGCATTGGCCACAGGACTGGAAAAGGTCAGTTTTCATTCCAATCCCAAAGAAAGGAAGTGCCAAAGAATTTTCAAACTGCCACACAATTGGATTCATTTCACACGCTAGCAAAGTAATGCTCAAAATTCTCCAAGCTAGGCTTCAACCGTACTTGAAATGTGAACTTCCAGATGTTCAAACTGGATTTAGAAAAGACAGAGGAACCGCAGATAAAATTGCCAACATCTGTTGAATTATAGAAAAAGCTAGAGAATTCCAGAAAAATATCTGCTTCATTGACTATGCTAAAGCCTTTGACTGTGTGGATCACAACCAACTGTGGAAAAATTCTGAAAGAGATGGGAATAGCAGACCACCTTACCTACCTCCTGAGAAACCTGTCTGCAGGCCAAGAAGCAGCAGTTAGAACCTGACATGGAACAACAGGCTGGTTCCCAACTGGGAAAGGAGCACGTCAAGGCTGTGTACTGTCACCCTGCTTACTTAACTTATAAGCAGAGCACATCTTGGAAAATGCCGGGTTGGATGAAGCACAAGCTGAAATTAAGATTTGGGAGAAACATCAATAGCTCAGATATGCAGATGACACCACCCTTATGACAAAAAGTGAAGAGGAACTCAAGAGCCTCTTGATGAAAGTGAAAGAGGAGAGTGAAAAGGCTGGCTTAAAACTGAACATTCAAAAAACAAAAATCATGGCATCCAGTCCTATGACTTCATGGCAAATAGATGGAGAAACAATGGAAACAGTGACAGACTATTTTCTTGGGCTCCAAAATCACTACAGATGCTGACTACAGCCATGAAATTAAAAGATGCTTGCTGCTTGGAAAAAAGCTATGACAAACCTAGAGAGCATATTAAAAAGCAGAGACATTACTTTGCCAACAAAGGTCTGTCTAGTCAAAGCTGTGATATTTCCAATAGTTGTATGGATGTGAGAGTTTGGACCATAAAGAAAGCTGAGTGCTGAAGAATTGATGCTTTTGAACCGTGGTGTTAGAGAAGACTCTTGAGAGTCCCTTGGACTGCAAGGAGATCAAACCAGTCAGTCCTAAAGGAAATCAATCCTGAATATTCATTGGCAGGACTGATGCTGAGGCTGAAATGCCAATATTTTGGCCACCTGATGTGAAGAACTGACTCACTGGAAAAGACGCTGATGCTGGGAAAGACTGAAAGCAGGAGGAAAAGAGGACGACAGAGGATGAGATGGTTGTATGGCATCACTAACTCAATGGACATGAGTTTGAGCAAGCTCTGGGAGATGGTGAAGGACAGGGAAACCTGGGGTGTTGCAGTCCCTGGAGCCGCAAAGAGTCGAATACGACTAAGTGACTGAAAAGCAGCAAAGTGATCAGGAGAAATAAGACAACCAGTTCACACCGAAGCTAAAAGTTATAAGTGCTTCATGTTTTCCAGGTGAATTTTGATCATTTTGTTACAGGGAATAGTTCTAAGTTGTTCAAATACCAAGGATTGCAGTGGCCATGGAAGAATCATTCCTTATACACTAGTGGAATGACCCTCCAGAAGTCAGGGCCATGGTCACCATTCCCTCTCTCCTATTGCAAATAGGACACAGCTGGATAGAAGGCTAAAAAATGGGGTTTTTTTTCAGTGTATGGTTAAGCAGTAATAAAAGTAGAATAATTCCTTGGAGTCCAGAATTAGCAAAAAGCACTAATTAGGCAGGAGTAAGCCAGTAAAAAAAAAAAAAAAAATGGTATTTGCCATTCTGGCTATTGTGGCATCTAGAACCAGAGGGAAGAAAATAGAACCAGAGGCCTCGGATTCCCTCTCCTTTCCCCACCAGTAAAGCCAGGACTTCAGCAGGGTGGTCTGCTTGTCTGTTATTAGTTACTATTGTTGTTATTTTAAATCAGCATATAACAGTAGCAGAATTGAAGAACTTGAAATGTGTAGATATTCTGGCTTTCGGCTACCTTCTCTCCCTTGGGTAGGTGCCAGGCCCCAAAAGAGGCCTCAGGTGGAGTGTGAACAAAGAGTAGAAAGAATAGGGATGTTACACAGCTCTTGTCAGGGTATCTTCAGCCCCTGAATTCAGCATTGTTGGCAAAAACCCTCTAACAATCTGGGAAAGCAGCAAGAGTGAGTTGTGATTGTTTCAGATAAAAGTTTGAACAACCTGGGAAATTCAAAAATAAATAAAAGGAAGTAGTTCATTCTATAAATGATTACAGCCAGAGAGAAGAGCTTGTATTCTAAGTTACTTTCACTATGCATTCTAAGTTATTTTCACTATGCGAGGACCCTGTGTTTGTGAGCCTGAAGCTGACTATGGCAGAAGAAAACTAGTAATCAATTTGTTTACCTACAATTAACTTTATAATGTTAAGGATAGTAATAGCCAAAATTTTTTGGTCTTAAGACTCTGTGTCACTGAGATAAAGTGGACATTTATGTTGGTGGATAGAGCAGCAGCATCCACAACAGCTGTATTTCTTTATTGAGATGAATCATTTTCACTTTATCTCCAAGGAAAAGAGATTTCTGCAAAGTCAAAGGGGGTAAAAAGACATGAAGCATAAGTCCTCATTTTCTGTTACTGCAGAAAACTGCTTATGAAACATATAGCATGACCAACTGTCCCTGTCTTTATTTCATTAAAAAAAAAAACAAAAAACCCATGAATAGATAAGTGTAAGGTCTTTTTTTCTATTATCTGGCCAGATACTATAATGACTGGAGCGCCCTCTAGTGGCAGCTCCTCTCTTGCGCGCTCAAAATGCCTTTTAAAAACCAGGGTGCTTTAAAGAAGCACCACGTATGGCTATGATGAAAGGGAAAGAGGAAAGTGAAAAAGTTGGCTTAAAGCTCAACATTCAGAAAACTAAGATCATGGCATCTTGTCCCAACACTTCATGGCAAATAGATGGGGAAACAGTGGAAACAGTGTCAGACTTTATTTTTTGGGGCTCCAAAATCACTGCAGATGGTGACTGCAGCCATGAAATTAAAATACGCTTACTCCTTGGAAGGAAAGTTATGACCAACCTAGATAGCATATTAAAAAGCAGAGACATTACTTTGCCAACAAAGGTCCGTTTGGTCAAGGCTGTGGTTTTTCCAGTAGTCACATATGGATGTGAGAGTTGGACTGTGAAGAAAGCTGAGTGCCGAAGAATTGATGCTTTTGAACTGTGGTGTTGGAAAAGACTCTTGAGAGTCCCTTGGACTGCAAGGAGATCCAGCCAGTCCATCCCAAAGGAGATCAGTCCTGGTGTTCATTGGAAGGACTGATGTTGAAGCTGAAACTCCAGTACTTTGGCCACCTCATGCGAAGAGTTGACTCATTGGAAAAGACCCTGATGCTGGGATGGATTGGGGGCAGGAGGAGAAGGGGACAACAGAGGATGAGATGGTTGGATGGCATCACCGACTCGATGGACATGAGTTTGGGTAAACTCCAGGAGTTGGTGATGGACAGGGAGGCCTGGCGTGCTGCGACTCATGGGGTCGCAAAGAGTCGGACATGACTGAGCGACTGAACTGAGCTGAGCTGAAGCAACTAAGCATGATGGTTTGAATTACCACACTTACCTTGAAGAAGACATGCGTTTATAATTTTTTACAAATTGTACCCTTTTTAGTGACCTGGGTCCAACTTTATCATATTAAGACTTTCAAGTACAAAAAAAATAACAGAAGTAAAACATATTGGTATATACATATTCATGCTGACTTACCCCAATAATAGGCTCTATATAATCTTGTGGGGAAAGTCAAATACAAAAGTCACAGCATAACAGTAAATAATTTTCCTCCTGTCCCAGTGCTCATGGGGTGGAGGTTTCTGGCCCTCTTCTGAGTGTTTCAAGCATGAACTCCTCACCAGACTTTTGTTCCCCTGCCTCTGATCCCTCTCCCTTCCCTGTTCTGCTGCCCATTTCCTCTCTATTCTTTGACAACTGTTTCTGCTCCAGTCAAGACATTTCTAAGGGAAAGAGGTTGCTCCACAGCATTTCTTTTTGAGTTCCTAGATTACCAACTTTGTGACAAAAACTCCTCTCAGAGTCAGTAATATTGCTCCAACTTTTATATGCTTTACTTGCTCTTACCTTTTCATGTCAAGGTATCATTTGTTCATTAACAAAACAACATTTCATCTTAAGAGCTCTGGAAGATAGTTTAGAATAGCTATGTTTACCTTCTTTCTCCAGTTTTCGTGACTTTTATTATCTTTTTCTCCTGCCGTATGAAGTTCACCAGCCTCTAGCACTGGTTGAACATCATAATTCATCTCTTCTTTCTGTTGCATGCTTCTAATACCAAAAGGCCATACCCGACTTAACTTTACCCTCTCAGAATCTCTCTCATCTGGTATATCTGTGCAGTTTGTACATAGTGCTGCTATCCTTTCTTCATGAAAACACTATTTTCCAAAGACCTCACTGCCTTTTGATTGTGATCCTCCCACTCGTTTTCAAATCGTAAGAGATGGGTCCCATCAGCACCTGTTTCACTGATCTCTTTCTGAAACGTGTATTTATTTAACTTTGGGAGCCTTAAGCATGCTGAAGAATGATAAGGAAAATAACTTTAAAGAGTGTTCTATGACTTTAATTGGAGAAGGCAATGGCACCCCACTCCAGTACTCTTGCCTGGAAAATCCCATGGATGGAGGAGCCTGGTAGGCTGCAGTCCATGGGGTCGCTTGGAGTCGGACATGACTGAGCATCTTCACTTTCACTTTTCACTTTCATGCATTGGTGAAGGAAATGGCAACCCACTCCGGTGTTCTTGCCTGGAGAATCCCAGGGACGGGGAAGCCTGGTGGGCTTCCATCTATGGGATCGCTCAGAGTCGGACGCAACTGAAGCAACTTAGCAGCAGCAGCAGCAGTATGACTTTAATAATCACAAATAGAATCAGTTAAGTGGATATCTGTTGGTCAGATCACAAACATTTTTTAAGAATCTTCTGTATGAAAGTCACTGTTTCTAGTGCTAAAGGGAAAAAAAAAAAAGAGCTATAACTTTGCCTGCCCTTTAGATGCCAGAGAAATAAAAGGAAATTCATGGTACAATGGTATATGTAATACACATAAACTAAATATAGTACAAAGATCAGTAAGGGATTTAGTTATCAGAGAAGGCTTTTTGAAAGAGGTGAGTTATTAGCTGGACCTTAAAGAATAACCAGTATTCAGAAAGCAAAGTTGGGAGAGGTGGTTTTCTAGGAGAGATAAACAGCATGAGAAATGGTGCTGACACAAGAATGCCCACGGCACAGTCAGAGCAGAGTGGGTCAGGCCGGCTGCCCAGAGTGGATGTTTCAGTTTAGCAAAGTGGTGAGATAGGCATACTGGCTCTAGCCTAGTTAAAGAGGGCCTTAAATGCCAGACTTAGATATCTAGATTTCCTCATATAAGTGGTAGAAAACTGTTGAACATTTTTGGAAAAGGGAATGATATAATCAAAAAATGTTTTAGAATGATGAATTATCTGTGATGTGAGGTTGGATGGACACTGAAGCCTGTTTTGACCTTCTTCCCTTCTGAAAGTCTCAGCATGAAATAAAAAGACCCTGGACTTATTGGTAAACTGGAAACAGGAAGGAAGAAATGGTTGTTTAAAATGTGTTCCCATCCTATATTCCAAGCACCTAGTGGTCCAGGCTGGAAACCTGGAAGTCATCATGGACTTTGCCCACTTCTACCCCTCCACACCAATCAGCTACCACGCCCTTTCATTTTCAACTGTATTTGCCCCTTTCTCTTCATCTCATGCTGCCAGTATTCTTGCTCAAGCCCTTAGACAAACTTCTGCCTGGTATTTTTGAAAAACACATCTGATCATGTCCCTGTCCAAGTTAAAATTTTTCTGTGAGTAGGCGGAAGTCCAGGCTTCTTGACCTGGACTTGACCTGGACCTGAATGTGAAAGGGCCTCCAGGATCTGATCCTAATGCTCATGTCCCCTTCCCTTCCTACCTCCAGTGCTTGCAGTTGCCCAGATAATTTGTGCACTCTCATACCAGGCATTTGTACATGCAGCCCTCTTGATCCACAGCAGCCCTTTTCCATTTCACAACTCTTCAGGGAATCTCACTGGCCATCCCATGTCCTTCCATGACACCCTGAATTTATTATTTCTCTAATAAGATTATCCAGGAGTATGATCTTATTGGTGTATCTCTCTCACTAGACTGTAAGCTCCTTACAGGGCACAAAACCATGTCTTATTTTCTTTGTATTCCAAATATAAACAAGGCCAGACACAGTATCTGGCACACAATTAGCATTCAATAAATGATTAAGGAAGAAAAGCAAAAAAGTTTGGAGACTAATTGGATGTGGAGAATAAGGAAGAGAAATAAGTTTGAAATGACTTCAAATTTTCAAGCCCAAATAACTTGGAGTGGTACCACCATTAACAAAAATAGACATCCATGAAAAGAACTGACTTTGAGAAGAAGATTCTAAATTTAGTTTTCACTATTTTGACTTTGCTATTGTGAGTATAGCATCTAAATGGAAATGTCCAGCAGTTAGCTGGATATGAGAAATTCTTAGAGCTTTAAGATTTAATAGGCCCTTCATTTTTCATAAGCCTGGTCCATCAGAGTCTCATTTCAAAAGCCCACTCAGATTGGTCCTGAATGTCTGCAGACCTGGACAAACAGAAGTTCATGTCTTACGTGGTACATGGTGGTCCATCAGATACGTTCCCTTCTTGTGGGCAGCTCTGGAGTTCTGGTTCCAGATACCCTGAGCTAATCTGAATGGACATTCTTCAGGTGTATTTTTACCTGCATTAGTTCAGTTGACCTGGTGGTCTCAGAAGCATTCTACAAAAATAATATACCATCTTGTTGAGCTTTTATTAAGAACGCCCTTGGACAACATCAGCAGCATGGAGATTTTTCCTTTTTTGTTTTTAATCCTTGAAAAGAGAGCACTTGATTCTTGACCTAAATGGCCTTCAGACCAGGCTGAAATTCCCAACTATTGATGTTGTGGTGACTGTTCACAGTAGCCAATCTTCCTAAGCGGTCATTTCTTTTCTAGGTTGCTGAGTAACCATCATGATGATGCCTCTAAGTTTATCTGTCTTCTTGCAAAGCCCAGCTGCAGCTCTCTAGAACAAGATGATTTTATTCCTTTACTTCAGGTAATTTTCATTTCCTTTTAAAATGGGTTTATTTTTAGAGTTTCAGAGGCTTTAAAAATTTTTTCAACTGTAAGATATGTCAATTGAGATATACAAATTTAGAGATTAGATTTCTAGACAAGTGGTTTCCAAGCTTATTTTAGCAGCAAAATCCTTTTGTTAAGTAAAAGTTGATACAGATAATAGTATAAACAGATAGTATAAAACAGATAATAGTATATATATATTATAGCCCAGATGAAACAGGGCTACTCCCACTGAAGCAGAAGAGAGAGGCCTTACTTAGGCTCCCCCTTTGCCCACCCACAGCAATCACAGAAGCACCTCTTGAAATCAGGCATTTGGCCTGGCTAATCAAGTTGACGTTCATTAAGGTTAAAGAGAAAGAGATCTCCAACAGAAAGAGCCCAGTGGGGGAATATTTATATCCAGGCCTTCTGATGAGAATCAGTTGCATGCCAATATTGAATCTGTTTTTATTACAGCATTCTTCATAGCTTGATACATTGCTTGTTAATGTATTCCATATCTAAATATTACATTTTCCTAAGTAGTTCACAAATTGCTTGAAGCTGAGATCTGCCTTTCATTTCTGTTGAATGCACATCATTTTTTGAGTTGTTCTAGTAAATCCTTGTTGACTGTTAGTGAGGATGCCTAAAAAAGGGCAGAAAGATGCATGGACATACCTTAGGTTTTTTTAAGTTGTATTTGTGGCTACCATCTTTTTTTTCTTTTAGATTTTTGAATTGCAACATATACACACATAAAAACACACTAATCATGATGCATCAATTAATTTTCACAATGTGAGCACTTCTGTATAACTAGCACCCAGATGAAGAAACTATACATTACCAGCACCCCCAAACTCTTCATGCTCCCTCCAAGTCCCTGCCACCATAGGGGAACCACTATCCTAACTTCTAACGCTGTATGACAGATTCTAATTGTTGGAACAGTTTGCATGTTCAGAAAATGAAGTTTGGATGTAATTTATTTTATGTGCAGGAGTTTTGAGCTTATTTTAATCTGCATGATAGCTTTGATTATTAAACTCTTCTATGACATATTTTTGTTCCCCTTTAAAAAATATTCATGGGAATGAAGATTGTTAAGTTTTTCACATTTAATAGAGACCATCATGTATAAAACCAAATTTTATGCTTTCCTATTTATGTTTTCTGTAAATTCTTCAGCCACCCCTCACCCTCACCCACTCCATCCATTCCCGGCCCTACTCTGTCTCCTATAAACTGCATCTTTTTTACTCCGTTTGCTGACTAGCTTCAGGGTGGTCTGGCCAGTGGCTCACACTGGCAGGAGGTGGGAGGGCAGAGAAGAAAGAAGTTAGCATGTCTTCCCAGCTGTTTGCTTCAGCATAGTAATTGTATGTTTCTCTATAATCCAGCTTTTGAGGTGCTTACTGGGCTCCTGTTGGTCTGTTCCTCCCTGGTCCCTTGGCCCTAGGGATTGTAACAGTATCTTTCTGTTGCTCATCCCTGGCACCTTCCATTCCCTTGTTTGTTCCCTTACCCACAACTCTTCACTTAGTTGCTTCATCAAGGATTCATGTGGGAGATTTCTTTTTTCTGTGGGGACTACCCTGACTGAGTTTTATCAGAAGCTTTAATAAAAGCTTTGACAGGAATATAAACTTAAGTTATGCCAAGAGAGTTATGAACAAACAACAAAATTAGTGGACATTTTTACTTCCTTCCCTTAAATATAAGAAGTTTTATTTTTATATAAAAAGTGGATATGTGGAGTCTGCTCATAAAAGAGGACAGACTGCTACCCCTCTCATTCTTTTCCAAACTCCTTTGAAGATAAATATTGATATGTTAAAAGGAATAAACCAGTGAAAGTGAGTGGAATGTCAGAGAGGAAGAGAGGAGGAAAAAAATCAGCGTACAGGAGATCTAGTATTTCTTGAAGATAGAAAGTGGAAGCAAGCAAAGGAGACCACAGCCCAGAGCAAGGGGCTATGTATGGGCTGCAGTGGAGAAGTGAGCTACTCTATTCCACTCTGCTCATTAGGATCTCCCAAGGAGGCTATGAACTCAGAGTTGGCAGAGCTGATGTGAAGTATTAGGAATGGGGAATCACTGAAGGTTGGGGTACAGAGCAGTTGACCATTTGACTGCTTACCTGGTTCCCAAATATAAAGTGCAGCCAGACTGCACTTGGAACATGTTAAGACAAATTTCAGTAGAGGAACATCCTAGATAGTGTCTGGCCAGTACTTGTCAAAATTATCAAGGTCTTCAGAAACAAGGGAAGTCTGAAAAACTGTCTGAGCCAAAAGGAGCCTAAGGAGGAACAATTAAATGTGATATGAGATTCTAGAACAGAAGAAAAGACATCAGGTAGCAACTAATGAAAGTGAAAGAGGAGAGTGAAAAAGTTGGCTTAAAGCTTAACATTCAGAAAACTAAGATCATGGCATCTGGTCCCATCACCTCATGGGAAATAGATGGGGAGACAGTGGAAACAGTGTCAGACTTTATTTTGGGGGGCTCCAAAATCACTGCAGATGGTGACTGCAGCCATGAAATTAAAAGACGCTTACTCCTTGGAAGGAAAGTTATGACCAACCTAGACAGCATATTAAAAAGTAGAGACATTACTTTGCCAACAAAGGTCCATCTGGTCAAGGCTATGGTTTTTCCAGTGGTCATGTATGGATGTGAGCATTGGACTGTGAAGAAAGCTGAGTGCCGAAAAATTGATGCTTTTGAACTGTGGTGTTGGAAAAGACCCTTGAGAGTCCCTTGGACTTCAAGGAGATCCAGCCAGTCCATCCTAAAGGATATCAGTCCTGGGTGTTCATTGGAAGGACTGATGCTGAAGCTGAAACTCCAATACTTTGGCCACCTGATGTGAAGAGTTGACTCGTTGGAAAAGACCCTGATGCTGGGAGGGATTGGGGGCAGGAGGAAAAGGGGATGACAGAGGATGAGATGGCTGGATGGCATCACCGACTTGATGGACCTGAGTTTGAGTAAACTCTGGGAGTTGGTGATGGACAGGGAGGCCTGGCGTGCTGCGATTCATGGGGTTGCAAAGAGTCGGACACGACTGAGCAACTGAACTGAACTGACTGAAGAAAATGTGAATTAAGTATAGCCTTGAATAATAGTAATAGCAATGCATCAATATTGGGTTATTAATTATAACAAATGCTAATGCAAGATGTTAATAATTAGAGACCTGGGTGCAGATATATGGGAACTTGAAACTATCTTCTCAACTTTTCTGTAAGGCTAAAACTGTTCTTAAAAAGTCTTTTTAAAAAAAATAATTACTATATTCAGAGAGATTATATAAGACAAGAATAGAGCTGATATAAGAAAGAGCTGTGCAAATTTTAAAGTGGAAGTGCCAAAATTTAAATTTCAGTGTAAGGCCTAGCAATAAAGTTAAGGATGTCTCTGGGGCACATAAATGCACACATGTTAGAGAGAGAGAGAGAGTCATAAGTGATGACATAAAAGACCAATTCAAGAATTTCAGCATCTCACTAACTGGAGTCTCGGGGAGAAAGAAGAGGGAAAGTGAAAAGAAGGAAATCATCAAAGAAGTAATACAGAATCATCAAATAAATAATACAAGATTGGAAAGACAGGAGTGATAGGATGTGTCCAAAGAGCAGAAACCCAGTGGGAAACTCCTTCAGATTCCTGTTTACTTTCTTGAGGAAACACATCATGCCTGTGTGGCCATCACGTGATCAAAAACAGAATATGACCCTCCAACCCAGCTCTCACGTTCCCTCCAGTCACTGCCCACAGAACCAGAATATTCAGAATATAAGTCTTTTGGTTGAAAGGAGCCTCTGAGTGCCAAACACAATGAATTTAAAAAAGACATACATAAACAAGTCCTCTTGAAATTTTAGAAAGCCACTGAAATCCTCCAGAGAGAAAAACCAGGTCACCCTAATAGGAATAAGAATTGGGGTGGTATTACATTCTCATTGGCAACTCTGGGGAAATGAATTTGAACTCAGATTTCTATATCCTGCCAAGCTGTAGATCAGATATGAGTTTAGAATAAAGACATTTACAAACTCAGAAAGTTTATATCCTGTTTTCTTGGAGAGTTACTTGAATATATACTATAGCAAATTAAATAAACCAAGAAGAAGAAATGCATGAGATCTAGGAAACAATGGATTCACTTCAGAGAATCAGTGAAATAAAGTCCCAGGTTGGCAACTGAAGAGCAGCCACTGTAGAACAGAGAAGATAGGGGATTTCTCTGGGAAGGAGCTAGGTGGGGAGGATTGAGTCCATGCAATAGTTTTTATATTTAAGAACAGGGGAACCGGAGAGTATGATGAAAATGCAGCATTATGTGTCAACAAGCTGAAGAAAGGCAATTAGAAACTCTAAAAAAAATGAAAAAAACTCTGAAGTCATGTATAAACATGATGTAAACTAAAATATGACAGGATTATAAATAACTGATGGAAAGTAAGAAAAGGAAGTTCAAGGGACCCCAGTAAAGCCTCACCTTCAGTTCAGTTCAGTCGCTCAGTTGTGTCTGACTCTTTGCGACCCCATGGACTACAGCATGCCAGGCCTCCCTGTCCATCACCAACTCCCAGAGTTTATTCAACTTCATGTCCGTTGAGTCAGTGATGCCATCCAACCATCTCATCCTCTGTTGTCCCCTTCTCCTCCCGCCTTTAGTCTTTTCCGCATCAGGGTCTTTTCCAATGAATGAGTCAGCTTTTCACATCAGGTAGCCAAAGTATTGGAGTTTCAGCTTCAGCATCGGTCCTTCCAATGAATTTTCAGGACTGATTTCCTTTAGGGTGCCTCACCTTAAAAAAAGAAAAAGAACAAAGTTCATTTAACTTCAGTGCCTGGAATAGTCTCCTTTGAATGCCCAAGGGACATGATATTGGACCAGTAAGAAATGATGTGCATTCCTGGTATGCTGCTTAACTGACATTCAACAGTATTTAGAGTCAAAATGTTGTAAAATATTTT